CACACACACACACATACACACACACACACACAACCACAGCCACAGAGGTATGCTCTCACCTGTACCTGACCTCTTTTCTCCTCATTCCTGCAGGCTCCAGTTCCCCTCGCCAAGACTTTCTCTGTGGTCCCTCCCAGCCCCCCTGCTCTCCCCCAGGCCCACTCCCCCCAGCGCCCACGCAGCTTACCGCCTTACAACCAACACATACTAGCTTCAGAGGACCCAGAGAATAAAGGTAGGTGCAGAATTTGTATGTGTTTGTGGAGGAGTTGGCAGCTTCAAGACTCTGAAAACGTAGTTTGAATACACCGAGCAGCTCGAGCTCAGTAAAGATCATTCTCTATAGTTATTTATCAAGATTTAATGTTTTGAAAATTCATAATATATAAGTAGCTGCATTTGTAAGTTATCCAAATTATGCAAGGAATTCGGAAAAAAGGTAACAGATGTCAGAAAAGGTTTACTTAATTAATAAATAATAATATTAATAATATATGTTTTTAAAAAGCATAAAGATTTAATTGGATGGCAATTTTCGTACAAGACAAACATATTTAAATAGTACTTTTTCTTCACTGCCTTTAATATATAATTCGTTTTTAAATGCTTTTAAAAAATGAATTTTAACCTGTTTTTGTAAAGAGTCTGTGATCTTTTTATGATTACTATTATACATTTTATTATTATCACACCAGAAAGCTTATCATTATTGTGTATTTCAGTATGTAATGAAGTCCCTTCTCCTCTCTGCAGTCACGTTGATGAATGACGAGCTGCTGCAGAGGCTTGCCAATGGGAAGACCCACCTGAACAAACCCCTGGTGATCCCGCGCTCCTCTGAGACCTCGGCCCCGCTGGACTACCACTCCCCTCCGGACGAGGTGGCCGAGTGGCTGCGGGGGAAGGGCTTCAGCCAGCCGTGAGTCAGCATGTTTACACTGTGGGAGTTCTCCCTGTGAAATGGCATTTTACTACCCTAAAGTCAACATATTGACAGCGTTAACGGGAATAAACAAGAGGAGGGGTTTTCCTTAGTACATTTACTCCAGAACTGTACTTAAGTACTATTTTGACATACTTTTATTGAGTATTCTACATGTATACTTCTATACTTCTATTGCAGAGGGAAGTACAACACTTTGTTAGTATATAAGTATTTATTTAATGCTAGATACCTATACCTTAACTTCAGCACATTATAGAGGGGTAACAGTGTTTTTATCTCCACTACATTTGTTTTTGGTTTAGTTTTTAATGAAAACCAAAGATATTCTAATGTGATGTGCTGCAGTACTGTTTTACTAATAAACAATAGTAGCCTATTTTAAGTAACTGACATTGGTTCCACATTGATAAACTACAACTTTAAAACGATCAATGTCATTCTGCTTAAAAAAATACTTTTGATACTTTAAGGACATTTATATATAATACTTGATGTACTTTTACTTAAATAACATTTTGAATTCTGGACTTTTTTTTGTATTTATAGCCTGTATATCACTACTTTTACTTAAGTGAATCATCTGAGTACTTCTTCCTCTGCTCGTGTCTGACTTTGGATCCTCTGTATTCTCTTCAGGGCGGTGTCGTGTCTCGGGGTGCTGACGGGCGCTCAGCTGTTCTCCCTGAACAAGGATGAGCTGCGCGCGGTGATCCCAGAGGAGGGAGCTCGCGTGTACAGCCAGCTCACCGTGCAGAAAGCCCTGCTGGAGGTCAGTAGCCTACTACAGCACAATTACACCCTGTTTCCATCAAAGTTCATCAATGACATAACTATTGAGAAAGCACAAAGCACATTTCACGATAAATCAGGTGGTCAATATTTGAGAAGGTGTCGAAAAACATGTATGACTACTGCCGATTGCTACAAACTATTTATCACAGAAATTGCACTCGTAAATAACCGCAGGAAAAGGCAAATGTATTTGATTACATTATTTTAGGACAGTAACATAGTAAAATGCATCTAGCCTAGAAAAGTGTGCCCATTATATGATATATTTAATTGAACTTTTTCTGAAAATGTAACCTGGTGACAGGGAAAACGATAAGGAAACATACATATTACCAAATAAATAATTGACCCAGTATCAGAAACATGGAAAAACTGTCATGTCAACCAGCATAAATTGTCTTTCTTCACTTGTCGATGCTTCTTTTGAGTAAATATCATGCCTAAGTAAATATATCTTTGCATTTCCACACGTGTTAATACAAATATTGCGTCTTTAACCTTTGACCTACTCTGCCTCCTTCAGGATGCCAGGAGGGCCACAGAGCTGGAGGCGGTGATGGAGAAACAGAAGATGAAGGTGGATCTGAAACTGGAGAGCAGCACGTTCTGAGCAGCAGCTCGGAGCCTCCCATTAAGGACTGTTCTAAAAGTGTCGTCAATCAAGACAGAAGACATTAACAATATAGTATAGAATAAACCTTGGACAGCTACTTGACTATCTAACATTGTCTGTGAAGCTGAAAAGGTCTGACTCTTTCTTCATCCTAAAACCAAAGTATTTGGCAGCGAATCAGAAATGTAAGATTTGAATAGTAGCAGACGCTCTGCCAATTTAATATTTTAACATTAAAGGACACTGTAATGTATATTGTTACATTTGAATGTGTATAGCTTCTTTGTTTCGTTTCTAGTACTAACTTAAATGAAATGTATTTATCTTTGTTTGTATAATACTTTTAATACCATTCCTTGACTTTGGTAAAAAGAAAAAAGGCCAGCACACAATGGCGATATTTGTTTTAATGGAGATTTTAAAGAAAGATTTCCAGCAGAACATAAGCAGATATGACTTCACACAGAACGTAAAGCAATGCATCCGTTAAAATCTGTTTGCAATTATAAATCTATTCAGAGGAACTTGTTGAAACTGGGCCAAAATGAAACGCTAATAAAAATGTATGTACATCGACTTTCCAATTCATTTCTGGACCTGCTGCTTCTCACAACAACAACAACATCAACAACAACTGTGTGGGTTTTAAATACAAGAAAATCAAGAGGGGGTGAAATGAGAAAACAAAGAGACACGCCACCAAAACAAATCCAAACAAGCATTTACTCTTCAAAACAAAAAGACCCCCTTCGCTACCGGCAGCGTCAAATAAAACTTAGTTAAGTTTAAACAGAAAAAAGGGGCCATGAGGAAACAAACTCGCAACTCGGTCTGAACTCCCTAAAACGTTAACGGGGCTTAAACTAAGAAAACATGTGGATAGACATTCATGAACTGCACTCAACAACTCCTGCAGTTTTCTGGGTGCTTGTGGAAATAAATCTTTCAAAATGAAGGACTACAAAAGAATGAGAAATAAGATATTCAGATTGTGTCAAACGGTAATGATAAAAGGATCAGTTCCACTCTGAGCTTCAGTCCGGCAGGCCGTGTGTTGATGTGTTCAATGCAGGGTGTTTATCAGATACAGACAGCAACCAAATCACAGATGTAGGCATCACAATACACTCCACTACTGATCAATATCTAAATCCCCACCAATCCAAATGCTTGTGATCGATCTGGAAAATGTTATACTTCTGGTACAGTGGAAAGAAAGGAGGAGAACAGAGGGATGGAGGCGGGACTGCGTGACATTAGGTTATTCTTTCTTAGAAATGGACAGACAGACGGACGGTGAGGGAGACAGGAGGACGCGGTGAGTCGTGATGGATGGAGTTTGGTCTTCAGAGGTCCCCCGTGTCCCGGTCCTCCCCCCGGCGGGAGTCCGACCGGCCGTTCTCCCCCTCTCTCTTCACCCCCTCCCTCTTCACCCCGTCCCTCTTCTCCCCCTCCCTCTTCACCCCCTCCCTCTTCTCCCGCTCCCGTGACCGCTCTCTGGAGGAGCGCTCTCGGTCCCGGGACGACCTGAGGACGAGACAACGAGATATTCAGATAAGTACGAGCACAAAGACAGATTATTATGCTTTTTCAGTTATTATGCCCAAAATATCTGGAACAAACTCCCAGAAACCTGCAGGTCCGCTGCAACTCTGACTACTTTGAAATCCAGGCTGAAGACTTGTCCCTTTCCCGCTATTCACATCTCACACTAACTGTTATTCATGTTTTATTGTCTTTGCTTTTAAATGCCATTTTATAATATGTTTCTGCTCCACTATTTCTTAATGCCTTTCATTTTTGTAAAGCACTTTGAATGGCCTTGTGTTGAAAGGTGCTGT